ATCTGGCCCTTAAATTCAGACTCCACTGGTGTAGCAAACACCATCTTAAAAGACAGTAAACTTCTAGCTGTAGGGTGTTCTAGGCATATGCTTTCTTCTTACCAGAGTCTGAGATCTGACAAGCTACACCAAACTGTTAACACAGAACTGCCTTCATAAACGTGGCAATTTTATGTACAGCCTTGTGAACAGTCACTGAAACAACACTGAGGTACCTGAAACCATCAGGACTGCATGAATTTGCACTGACACATTTCCATCTCTGTCTTGGTTCTGAAAAGCATTTAAAAGCAGGATTCTATCCTCCACCTCCAAAAGGTTTGTGGACACCCCAGCCAGCAGCCAAACCAAGTTTGTCTTCTGAAGTTCTCTCCACTCTTATCCCTTTCTTTCACTGAAGATACAGCACATGAAGTCAGTGAGACTTAATTTCAGCTGAATGCTCTCACTACATACTATGCTCCATCCTTACATGAATAAACCCTTGAATTTCAAAATGAGAAAGGAGCATGACTTACCATCTAGTAGTTCTAGAGTAACTGAGGGATCTACATATTCCCACCAGTGTTTTCCATCAGTTGATACTGGAATCTCCCAGTTGGACCACTTGCAGGCCAAGTGAATGCACACACATGCTATCACTGTGGGCTTGTACTGAAGACAGAATGTGGTAAGGTGAAGGCTGTTGCACACATTTCGTAATGAGGAACCAAGGGAAATCAAACATGTAAAACAGAAAACCCAAACAAATCAACTATTAACGTACAGAATGAGATACCTTGTCAGTCAACAGCAATTAAACATTTTGTTGAATAAGCTCATAAGATATCTTATTGCCCTAAGAAAACAAAGGGCAGGGCATTTATCTGGCAGAAAGTTAATTTGTTTTTGCTATCAAAAGCCTGACAGCTTTTGATAGCAAAAACAGTAAACAAATTTACCACTTATTCTACTGTACTTAAGTACTAAAAAGGGCAGTATAATATGGTGAATTAAAATTCTGCAGTGTAATGCATAGAGCTAATTGTGCAGTCTCTGACTGAGACAATCAGAAGGTCCCCAGCAGTTTCATAGCAGCCAGGTGAGTTATTTGTGGGCTTTACTTTCACCAAGCCTGGATTTGTGACATTTTTGACATTGTCTTTAGCTTCCAGCACCACAAACACATTGGTTCCCTTTCACTGCTTTAGCATAACTTCTCTTAACAGCTGCTTAAGTACAATATCTTGCCCATCAAGGAACCACCAGGATTTATTTATTAATTTTGAACAGTTCTAATAACCAGCAGATACTGTTTAAAAACTGTATCTACACATAATGTAATCCTCTTAAATAAAGGCTGAAGTGGTTCTGCAAGAGGTAAATTGAATTTATCAAGAATAAAGCCTGCTCTCTAATTTTTTATGACAGGCTATGTCTATAAAACACCCACTTGGAATCCCAGAACTTTAAATTTATCTAAGTACTTAAGTTTTAAAACTATATACTAAGATTAAAGAGCCATTTCTAAAAGAAATAACATTGGGCTAGTACTACTCTATCTAAAAAGAAAAATCAGCTAGTTGAAAATATCTTAGACCCACTAGAATTTTATAAGTTATGACTGAATCAATATACTTAAAGTTAAGAGAAAACTGCCATTAACTACAAGTGTAAACTAAAAATAGTTTTGTACTTACCAAGATGCTCGGATTTCTAGGTTAAGTTTATCTCTTTGTAATCTTTAGCTGCTATTCAGGCTACCAATTTTAGACTTATGCACTCACAATCGAGAAAAAGTCATCAGAAAGCACCACTACACTTCTCATTGTGCATTTAAGCCCTTTGTGCCATCAGGCCCTTGTCCAATACACCGCACTGCAGGCAGGGAGGTACCACCACTGGAGGTGGCCCAGTCCCCCACTGCAACAAGGGTAAGACACATCAGGGGGCCCTGCAGTAAAGGAAGCTATAGTGTGCTACAACAGTGCAACAAAGAGGTTCAGGATAACAACCTGTTGGTAGCCATGAAATAGGATGTCTGTGCCAAATCCTTGCTTGCTGTAAGAAAAGAAAAACAAGAGAGATTAAAGATCTGCACTAATTTGTCAGGTTCATTCTAAAATTCAAGCAGTTTTACCTTCCAAAAATTACTGCTGGGTATTTCTAAAGTACTGTTCTGGCTTTAGCTAACTAGCCTTTAAAATAATCTGAGACACAGAAGACTGAGACACGCTCAGTCCTGGAGCTGGGCCTGTCATTCCCTTCAGTGGCCCTCCCTCCGTGCACAGCCCACAGGACAGCTCCCTCCAACAGCTGCCAGGCGAGCACTCTGCTCTGGGAAGCGCTGCTCCCCCGCCCTCACTGCAGGGATCCCTGCTCTGAGCTGGGAGCACAGCAGGCACTTGGTCTGGCCAATTCACAGCACAGTGCTCCATCTGCTCTTGGAGCAGGAGCAGGACACCCTCCCACCTCCCCGAAACAGCCACACCTCTCTCCCAAAGCCCAGTAACACAGCAAGCCCCCAGACTACCTGGGGAAAAAATCAGTTTTCTGCTCCTTCTAATAAGAGCACTGTAGTTGTAACATTTTGCTCAGTATTTGTTAAATCTATGGCAAGGCTTCAATAGGAAACAGACAAATTCCTTTGAGTTAGTCAGAAAAAAAATACCGAAACAAACCACAGGACTGCAACATGCCAGAAATGAAAAACTGACTTGGGCTGTTACAGCCACAGAGTGCTGACCCCTAGAGTGACACCCCAATGCTCCTCACTCAGGTAAGAGAACTTACTGTAACATGCATTTAATGGAATAGCTGGGCACAAGGGGTTTAACCGCAGATTGAATGCAGCCTTCATTGAATTCTTACTTTGACACTATCACTTGAAATCAGTGCTACCTGCAGAAAGCGTAGTGTTGAATTTTATGTCAAAGGGAATGCTGTTAAACTTTTATTCTAATAATATTTCTAGAAAGTTTGAGAAATACTACAGTGGCTTTTAAATTTAGTTTTTAAAATTATATTAAAATGTGATTTAACTCAACTTCTAATCATTGCCAAGGAATAAAATTCAGATTTGTCTTCATGCTACACAGCCAGAATTGCCATACTCTAAGAAGAATGTGGAAGTTGCAAAGTAACAGGATCTGTTCCTATGCACAAATTCTACTAATCCATAATAATCAGAAGGTGAACTGACATGTGTTATGCTATAATATTTAGTTTGCACAGTAATGGTAATTGCATGGCAGAAAACCAAGGAGTTTAACCTCTTCCTCCCATCTAAAAAAAAGTAAGGTGGAATCACCAAAGGAAAAAAAAAAAAAGTGAAATGAGACTGTCATAACAAATAAAAATATACAATGGTTGAGTAAGACTGAAATTGATGTCTGGCTCTTCATTTTTCATCAAAGCAATGCCTGAAGGATCTTCAATGATTTATATAGTCTGTAAAGTTACATGTTTGAATTAAGGGAGCAAGGCCAAGAAGCATCTCTACTCTCACTGAAATGTCCCTTCTGAACAAGGAAGAAAAGCAGATGCCAGAAAACTTCTATTTAACATCAGCTTGAAAGATGAGTAAATCAAAACACATACCTGGAAGAAAAGAATCACATCTTGAAACACACACTTTAGCCTCAATCAAAAATTACTGTGCTAAATACCTTACCTAGACTAAAAGTAGTATGATTCTGTTTCAATTTATTTACAGCTAAATAATAATCACTGCCAAAACCAGACAGAAACTTCAGCTCACAACTAAAGCCTCTGATAACACAAGTCACAACTGAAAATATCCATCCCAAACTCTTCTATGTAGGGCAGCTTTGGTATAGAGCAGAATCCATCAATGAAATTAAATCTAATGAATTTTGGTACCTATATTTTGGTGGTTTACTTCCATTATAGCAGTGGAAAGTACATCTCCAAAATTTAAATAATCTTGAAGCAGGGGCTAAAACAAGCCAGCAGAGCTGCTCTTATAACTCACAAGCTGCAGGATCGATGGTTGCAACACTAGCCATGAATGACCAGTTTTTGATTTTAGCATTCAGGTGTGATTTGAAACATCCATCCTGTCTCACTGCTGCAGAAGCAGCCATAAGACAGGGATCAGTGAAATAGTCATCAATATTTTAAAACAGGACTTGCTGTCTGACACACCTTCTGAGAGGCTGTCTCCAAGGGATTGTCAACTGGAAACTAAAATTATTTTTATTGGGCATAGCCACGCAATTCACCGCTTGCAGTTCCAAGATACCTGAGTCTTTTCTTCTACACAGCTTATCTTGGATCTTGGGATGTTCATGAAAATGTGACTGCCAAGTCCCCATTAGGAGCTGGTAACTGGCTGTGCCTGGACCCTGACAATGTGTGAGCATTCCCCAGAAAGAGGAGACTGCAGATTAGCCAGTCAGCATTGGAAGAGAGAAGCTTGCTGAAGTCCTTCTGGCAAAAGCAAAAAGCCCCAGGCTCTGAACAGAGGATGCTGGAGGGTGCCTGTTGTATCTGCAAAGGGCTGGAAGAGGCCATGGTGTAGGCATTCAGGTCTGAGCAGTCCTGGTGGCTTTACTTTCTTGAAAGTGTTTAAAACTTGGGAACAGGCCCATAAAAACCTGAAGTCAAAGTTCAGAATGGGAAGGCCGCCTGTAGCAAGTGCAGCTGGTGTTTCACATCTTTCCACACCACTAAGTTTCAAATTTTCCTCATGAGAATACCCTCTGAAAAAGCTGATGCATTTTCACCTCCTCTTCTGCTGACTTTGTCTTTCTCAGCCTGATTTAAGCAATGGCATCTGCACACAGATACTATGGGATATTTGAAGGACTTGACACTGCAATTTTCACAAAAGATTAGTAAGGATCATGGGTGTTCAAGATACCTGATAACGTGCAGAGTAGGGAGAACAATCCTAGAAATCCTTGAGATCTCATCTTCAGTTCCAAAAGGTTGTGTTCCAACACAGAGAAAGGAGTGACTGAAGACTTCCCAAGATGCAGATGTGGATATGGATTCCTAGTTTCACCAGCAGCAGGCAGAGAACAGACTGATTTTGCACCAGAGTGTAAGAGGACCATGGCACAGTCTTGTCACTGGGCAGTTTCACTGCTGATCGTTCAGCTAGTGTTGAAGGCAGCAAGGGCCAAAGCCAGAACAGTTTTGGTGGGGTAGTTTTTCCCCTTTTCTTTTTTCCTTTCTTCTCTTCACTACTGGAGCATTCTTGGAATGGACACTGAAGCTTGCTGACAGGCCCTCATATATCCACTGCCTTCAGATTCCTTGGACCTGTGGGATCCTAAGGAATGATGGTCATGGAATGATGGTTCTGTCTCCTCTTCTCAGTCTCTTGACACTGAGGAAGAATGGTGCAGAAAAAATACTAAGCCCACACCATTTTCCTTGTCTTCTATACTGACCAAACTGCAAAGATGGAATAATTTCATTAACCCATGACTCTCTGAACATCAGAAGGAGTAACTTGGTATTGTATGCCTGAACATCATGAATCATTTTCTAGGCATCCAGTCACCCCTTCTCTGCAACGATCTGTGTTGTCTAATAAAACCTTCAAGAAGGCTTTCAATCTTAGAGAAGAATTCATTTTTTTTTAGTTGTATGTTGAAGCAAATATATTTATTTGCACCAACTCCCACTTACTAGTTCATCTTCAGCTTCCAGCAATTGATTCTGGTGTGCCACTGCCAGACTAGACAGTCTTCTGACAAAGGACTTGGCTGAATTTTTTGAGCGTCATCAACACAAACTAGGTTTTTATTTTTTCATTTTGTTTTTAAAGGGGATAGCTTACAGCTTAATAATAGGTAACAGTGACTGCATAAAACAAATTACCTGGATTCAAGACAGCAAAAAGTGATGGAGAGAATCAGGCATCCTCTGAGGCACTGCAGTTTAGTCAGCCAAAGGGCCCTTTCCCACCACCCGACAATGCAGTGCACAAAGCCAAAACCACACTCACAGACCTCAGGTAACTTTGCTGCCTCTTTCTTGATACTCAGTCAGACATTACATTCCTCCCTTCCTCCTCTCTCCAAACATGCAGTTGGAAGTTTTAATTACAACAGGCTTGGATAAGTTAATCATCTTTATTCAAAAAAAGGTATCTCTGCCTTCTGAAATGGTGCTTTTTGTCCAAGATGAGGTTACCAGAACTGGGTGAAGTAACCTTGGAATTCTTTAACTTTGCAGTCAATCCCATTAGCACTAAAGGTTTAACACTGATAAATCTAAGGTATATTTTAAAAGCTTCAGGACTCAGATATCTGAGTATTGCATCTACTGACATTGAAAACCAATACTGTCCAATAAATAAAAGTTCAGGGACAGGAAACTAAACTCCTACCACTGTGTCTCTGAAGATAATCACTGTGCCCACAGGCCCATGTCTCTGTCCCCTCAACACATCAAACCAATGTTCCATGGCAGTTATTCTGTCCTTGCTTGACTTGCATGTATGACATCAGATTTCATGCCTGATGTTTTAAATTAATTAATTTCGTTTCCTTTTTCTTATTTTAATATGAGGTACTCAAGTCTTGTGTTTACAGTCTACAGCACTCTACACAAGCTCCCAAGGATTCCATACACACACACACACACTAATGAGCACACCTCCTTCAGTAAGCAGGTTTTTAAACATCAGACACATTATATTTACTGTGCACCACTCCTTGAGCTACATAGATGTTCAGCCCTCACTGAAGTCTTCAGATTTCAAGATATCACTTTAGACTTCTAAGTATTTTTTCAAGTCTGCTGACATTAAGTATGTCAAATTTAAAAAATCACAGTATCTTCAAAGTATGAATTTTGTCAGTACAAAAAATTAGCTTACAAAACACAAAAGTAAAAGCTGAACTGCCTTAGAGTGCTATCCACCCTTGATGAAAGGCAATCCAGTTTGTGTAGCAGTGTGCCTGTAGGCTTGAGTGACACACACTGATGTGGAAGTCCTGAGGCAATACAACATTCCCCCACCCCTCTCCAGAGCCCCAGACACCAAACAGGAGCACAGGGGCTCCCCAAGAGAGTAAAATGTGATCACATTTACAGTGACCAAGAGCTAAGAAAAGCCAAAGCAGAACCCTACAGAGCAGCTGGTACAGACTACTGAGACTTCAGGTGCAACTGGATTCATGCACTGGGCAGAAAGCAGAGAATCATTATCTTAGAGCAAGGAGAGCAATAAACCACTTTATATGCAAGTAAGTTACAGCACCAGCCCTGCTCAGTGTCTGCAGATACTACACCAGGAAGCCACAGAAAATAAGAGACACTCTTCCTTGAAAGAACATCGTTAATTTCAGAGTTACTACAAACCAAATCTAGTTTACAAGGTCAGGCTGTACCAAAAATTTATATATTTTATAGAGGGAGAAGAAAAAACACCAAAAACTTAGAAGCATTTATGCATTTTTCACTGCAAAACCAGCTAATGTCTAGAGACTAACAACCATGGTCTACTAATTTCAAAACATGTTTTACTTAAGAAACATAATTCAAGTGAAAAGCTTATTTTAGATGCTTTTACAACTTCTTTTTTTCATCCTACATCTTATAAGAGGGTGTTTTCATCTTTTTTTGAAGATCCAAAAGAAACCAATTCTAGAATTAAAGAAGATGTGCCAAAATGCCACAAAAATTATAGAGAACAAAACAGGTTTCTAGCCAGTCACATCAATGAGCTGCAGACAAGTTACAGGATATGTTTAACTAAAGGTTTGAGGTTTTGTGCTACCATCCAAAACAAGTAAGGACACACTGCTCCAGAAAAACAATTAGTCACACCTATTTGCATGTGACAGCACACTTGCTATGCACTCTCTTTATCCCTCAGTCCATTACCTGAAAAGATTTGCTGAGACAAAAAGCAGGCATTAGCCATCAATGGGCAAAACTATTTAAGAGGGAAAATCATCAGCTCAAAACAATACTATGGATCTGGCCAAACAATTTGCAACTGCTGACTGCTTCTGTCATTCCAGAACACATGGAACAGGTACGATTAAAATCAAAGCTAATAAGAAAACAAACAAACCAAAAAATAAAAAAAGAAGGACAGAGGACTGGACTCTTTATGACTTACTAAAGGTAAATATCAAACTCTTTGTAATTAATTTTAAACATACTCCTTGGATAACATAGCTTGTGAAAAATTATATTAGACAAATAACATTATTTTCAAATTTTACTAGAAAGGTAAAAGAGGACTTACAGAAGTGGTTAAAAGTCACTGACCTCTCACTAACTGTGTGCATTTCACAACATCTGTGTGTGGATGTTCAATGGTAATCTCAAAACCTGAGGAGTTACAAATACATTTTAGAATTATACATTTCCATCTGCAAAATAAAAAGCAAACCCCTTATGTTGCCCCATAGATCTAAAATATTTTCACTGCAGAATAAGTAACACTAATTAAAAGCCTTTTATTCTTTGCCTTTTCATACTTCTGAATGGCAGATGGTAAAGCCACTTTGTAATCTGTTACTGAAATATTCCTCCTGTAATCTTAAATCCTGTACACACCTAACCTGGAAAATTACTATCTTTTACAGCTGAATATATCTGAACAATTTCTAGCAAGTTCGTAAGTCAGTAAAAACTGTGCTGCAAACACAATGAAATATGTGTGTGCATGTATACTTATATTAATTGATTTCTAGCACTGAAACATGTTGCATGTATGAAAATAGAAATGAAGTCAATTTGTATATCAGTGACTTAAGAAACCCTTCTGTTTTAAGAACTAGGTCACTACTGTGAGCTGTTTCTTTTAACAATACCTCAAGTGGTATTTAAGAATGTCTGAGCAAGTCAGTGTTCTCAGGCCTCTGGCTGTAATTGTCTCTATGGTATTTTAGTCAGAAGAGTTTCTTGACACAACATTCCACTTCAAATTTTGGAATCATCTGAATCCATTAAATGGCTACACTACAACTTGTGTTTGTTCAGAGTCACTCAATTACATAATGGTCTTCTATGTTCTTCTTCAAGGCAGAATGGGGAAGAGCACTGGGTAAAAAGCTCTTTCCAACTGCTTCAGGACACACACAGCCAGCCTACCACACCATGTTACCTTATGGGAAGAAATCTCAATGTAATTACTACTTGGAGTAAAATCTACTTGGAAGCCTAACTCAAACTGTCAGAAACATCTCTTTCACAAGTACAGACACACCTTTATTCTCCACAGTGAACACAGCAAAACTGGTAACACAAAACTAAATTCAGAAGTTATACAGGAAAACAGTTAAATTCTAGTGTTCCAATAGCACATAAAAAATCCAGTTATTTGGGTCCCCCTAGCTCTTCATGGCAAGCTGGCTGCACAGGAGGTATTTAGAAAGACATACCTAAAGTTTGAAGCATTATTGTTTCAAGTATAACCAGCTCTTGGGCTTGTTGAAGGTATGCCTGAAACAAACAAGCAGACAGGTGAAGACACAGCAGTGGATTGCCTCAGAACTTCACTCTCACACTGCCTCTCTGGTACAGCAACACAAGATACAGCAGCAGTTCCACACCAGTGAGCACTGACAAGTCACAACACTTCACACTGTGGTTACTTTCCTCCACACACAGCTACAAATTCAGTTCCATCTGCCTGCATTTCACAAGAAGATTAATTTAGTCTGGATTTCGGAAAATCTATTCCAGCAAAGCATTTTTGGGAGGTCAGGTGGGTGCTGTAAGAATTTCAAGATGGTGCAATCTCTTCAAGTTTCATAACAAATAAGTGAGTCTTTAAGAAATTGCACTAAGTAATAGAAAGACTTAAATGGTATAAAAACAAAGGCTTTTCTTCCTAGGCTGCAGAGAGCAATATTCCAGTAAAACAATGTAACAATCATTACACGAAATATCATCTTTCAAACCATGTATCTTTGAGACCGTAACTTCCACCTACATCACTCTTTGTATCCAGCTGTGGCTCTTGAGGATGAAGACAGGCATTTGCTACTTTAATAACATGTTCAAGTTTCCGTGGCTGTTCTTCCACTTTTGCAGCCAAAAACAATGCCGTGGGAGACATTATCTGAAGAAGAAAAACATGTGTATTTTTTAACTTTTTACAAGCACGACTTGAATTTTTATGGAGTCTAAACTAGCACAGAAAAGGTTTAAGAAGTTGGATTTGTGGCTTTTTTTCAGTTTTGAAGTCATGCAAGGTAACAAAAATATAACTAGTCATGTTTTATTTTGTAACTGATGCAATCCTCTCAGCAGCACAGGGAAGGAGTAGCATAACGTTAAATTACATTTGTGAGTAAGATGTCTGAGGTCAAACTAATTCTAGTTCAACATAAAATATTTTGGCCCAGAAGACTTAGTCACAGTAGAACAAGCTGTTTCAAGTTAAATATACTTCATGAGAAAGTTCATCCAATTTCTTGCACAGAGCGAGTCACTACACCATTTTTTCAGCAGAACAGCTGATCACAAGTTCTGGTAGCATTTAATTCTCCCAAAGAGTGAGAAACTTTGCAGAGAACTTTAATAAAAACAGCTTGCTATATAAACACAGGCTCTACAAGTAAAAGAAACTTTATATATACACATATATTCTTAGAAACTTTACTATATGCCCAGAAGTATCTGGAAAACACAGCGTAAGGATTTGTAAAGCACCAATTCTATCAAATGTTAGTAAAGACTACACATCACATTTAAAGATGGAAATTTATATCAAACTCTAGGTGTCATAAGGTGGCAGTTCAGTATCACCCAAGAGTTAGCTGTGAAGTAGAATTTTGCTGCCTGTTGTCAGCGAGAGTGACTGATGTGTACAGACAGTACACAGCAAACCACAAATCACTGATGAATTAGGTTCTCTTTGCATGCAAAATGTGCCCATGTTAATCAGGAATTAAAATGGTACTAGAAATCATCTAGACATAAGCTGATTAAAATGGGTAAAATTAAGCCAGTATAAAGCATTTATTCAGAGACTGAAATAGCTGCTTGCTGAGTTTAATTAATGCATGGTGCAGGTAATGCAAGTATTTGATTTGTCATTCAATGCCCAAAGAGAGCTAGGCTAAATAGGAGACATAGCCCCCTAAAGCCAGGTTTGCTTTTTTTGCCAGTAAGCAGCCCTTTTTTATGCCAAAATGAAATATTTGGTATAGAAACTTACAATATATGCAAAACTGCAACAAACTAATTAAACATTTAAGAGATTAAATTTCAGAAGCTTTCAAATGTACTGAGAGTACTTTTTTGCATCCTTAAATCACTTTGGAATGTCTGCTTGGATCTTAAGTAAAACTTTAAAGGTGGCAGACTTGAAAATTGACACCTTGGTAAGGCAATACTCTTTTGATGAGTAGAAGTAAGCCATGAGAAATCTAGCAAAAATCTCAGTCTATAAAAACCAACCACCCAAAACAAGTCACAGGGAGCAAATTCTTTTACAAGGGAGTCAAGAACCCCTGTTTTCTATTTAAGAATCTTGTAACCTAAGCCTGATGAACAAATGAAATAAAAACCCAAGGTGAAGTGTTGCTGAACAAGGCCATATTAGCACTGTAATTTAATACTTCTGATGATTCTGTAGAAGTTCCTATCCCATTGCTTGAAGTAATGATTTGAAATTCTGGAAGGGATTTCCTTTGCCAAGGACATACTACTTGAAATGTGTCTCACACTGAGATAAAACTTTTAAACAGTAAATATGATGGAAACACTTTCTGGAGTTCAGAGAGTATCAACAGCTCTGAAGTGGCAGAAAATGCAGAAGATGTCAGGCAGCACACACAGGCTGCCTGTCATATAAAGGTATTTTACAGAACTCAATTTTCAACAACTCCCATGGCTGAAAACATTTCCACTTCACTGAGGCATTATTTGAACTAAGTCACCAATGACCACACGATTAAATCTCACTCACTGTTACTCTGTGGCTGACTGCACCAAAGTTCTACTTCTTTCCAGAAAAGTACCATCAGGCTGAATTCAGGATCTCTTCTGATTTACTGAAGCAGATCACATCTGGCCAAGAGGTTCTCCATACAATTCCTGATCTCCAAGACCTTACACAAAACACAGCTCTGGAGGCTGATTAAGTCAAGCTGATTAAGTGTCATAAAATTCTTGTTCATCAGAAATCCATGTACAGCCCAATTAACTATTTCCTTCAAAAAGAAGTGTTGGCTTCTGGCCAAAGAATTTCAGGTCTTTATCCTATCTAGGACAAGGGTTCTCACTCCCAGTTTAGAGCAGGCCATTATTTTTAGCTCCCTTGGTATTCATTCAGAAAAATAGACATCCTAGTAAAATTCCAGACTTGGCAAAATGTAGTCTTCAGTGAACACACCCTGCTAAGTGTATAACTGGCAAAGTTACTCAAATGCTTTCATTTGTTTCCAATTACCAAAAATGGCAAAAAACCCAAGCAAAGTAGAACAAAAAAAGCAAAATTAAAGAAACATACTTGACAAAGCAATAGTGTATTTCCTATATATAAATATCTTAATTTGGTATCAATCAAAATAATTTAGAGTAATTATATACTATGCACCCCAAATAGACTTTGAGAAATCTTCAGAACACATGTGATGTATGACATTAAATCCCACTTTACTACTAGCCAAGTCCCACAAAAATAGGAAAAATCCCCAAAACATAAGAGCTTTGTTAACACAATCCAAAAGCATTACACACCAAGTTGCACTGGCAACTGTGGTACAGGTCTTCTCACTTCAAAAGTAAAAGGCAGTGTAATGACAAAGGCACTCAGAAAAACCTCAGAACACATCAGCAGCGTGCATGTGGTTTTCTGAGATCTCCCTCTCCCTTCCAATGCCAATATTAGAATGTTTTTAGACTGATACAGTTTAGCCTAAGACATTAAGTGCTTACAGTTTATGAGAGGGTTTTCAAGTTTGAACACAAAGAGCTGTGAGGAATTTTTTTTTATTGTAACCAGGAGCTTGCATTGCATAAAAGCAGCAAGTATGTTAAATTGCACTATTAAAACCAGAACTGAAATACCCAAAACAGCTTCTAACTCAACCAGAGCTTGAAGCGTATTATGAAAGTTTCAAGAACTTTGCAAAACTGCAAAGTCAACTGTTTAATATTGTGATTTGGACAAGGCACAAGGAATGCAGAAGGACTGGAAACAAAACACCCTCCACACAACTCACTTACCTTGCACTTGAAGGAAAACAATTCTTCATGCAGCCTTCTTTAAGCTCTTCACTAAGCTCCACTGTATGTCACAAAAACCCCTTGACATCATCAAGACTATTTTCAACTGGCTGGTTGGTATTCCACATGGCATTTCTAAGGATTATATTTAAAAACTACAGCTCCCATTTGGATGCCTTACCTCTCATTGCCAGCATACAAAGGATATTCCCCCTTTCTGTTCTACAAATCAGAGTGTATTGAAGAATAAGCATCCAAAACAACTATTTGCTATATAACAATGTAACACACAAGTACTGTAGAAATGGTATTTGCAGAAGAATTTTAATTTTGAAGATATTTTAAAGTATAATAGTGAGGCTAGTACTGCCTATAAAAAGCCAGCAAGCTCCCTCCCATTCCCAATATTAGCACAGACTAACTTTATACTTAGCAACCCAAAGTCCCCGGTCAGCAATGTAGAAAGAATAATTTGTGCTGAGGAAATCCACAGTAGCTCCTGTTATTTGCACAGCCAGGGAAACTAGTAGTCAGGGCATCCAATTCTGCTTCCCAGAATTGGTAAAGCAAGATTCCACCCCTCACTGGGGCACAGCAACCTTGCAAAGACTTTGCCTGCTTTGACTGCAACATCCAAACATCAATACTTTCTTCTTTGCACCTAAATGCATGCACTCATCAGGTAATCCAGAGCAACCCATAAGTGACTTGCTAGCTCACAGAAACTTCAAAAAAAAGGAATATTTGGCCAATAAGCAGTATATATACTACATTCCCAATGAACCAAGACTAAATTAACTAGTACATGCCACCCCTGTGGCTTTACATTGAAGATACTGTTGGGAATTCTGTTCTCTGTTCACAGATGGCTCAAACTTCTGAAAGCCTGTAAAATTGTTTAGCAAAAACTTACACTGAAGAAAAAACCCATAAAATGAAGACAGCACCTATTCAGCAACTGAGCTTCCATTAGAAGCCCTGTTGTTGACAATTAAGTGCAGGTCACATACATGACATACGTGTGTATTTCTATAACCTGGCAGTCATCATGATGACAAATGTGCAAATGCTTATTACCAGACTAAAAACATTCATCTACCAATAAAACAAGACAACACAGGCCACATTTTTTCAGCTGAAGATCATAAGGCATTCTGACTAATGGCCATCTAATTTTCTAGCCCCAGCATTCACATTCCTTCCTGCCATGGATAAACAGCACCACGTGCACACAACAAAGAAATATTAGAGATACACTGCATATGCTGCAGGACAGCTTACCTAGGTCTTACCTTTGAGACTGCCAGTACCTTACTACTCCTCTCCAAGGGTTACTTTCTCCTTGCAGAGATTAATACTGTTACATTTTTAGCTTGCCAAGTACTCTGGAGATTTGATATTAAGTATTTATTAGAGTTCTCGGCTTCTGCTTTTTCTACAGAGGACCTAATGGATGGTTTGGGAATACTTTAAAAGTTACTGCATTCACTGAGACCCTCTTTATCCTACAGAATTGTAAAAAGAAAATGCTCTTGCCCATCAGCACATACACAAAGCCACTCTCTGGCCTTATGCTCATTAAGAAGTACAAACAGGAGTTCATCAAGAATCAGTCCTACTGAGGTACAACCTGCAGTTCACTTGCCTTTAACTTTGAACATTATTGCCTGAGAATTAAACACTACACCTCCTTCCCCTGTAATAGCTGTAGTTTCCATGGCATTCTGCCCTTACATAGATTACTTGTGAATTTTACGATTCATAATTTAATTTAAGCCATGGTTTTCATATGAAGAGCACTACACATTCAACACTACTGCATTGCCAGTTCCAAATGACTGTCATTTACCAGTATCCAGTGAGAACCCAAACACAGCAGCCAAAGCTTCTTGCTGCCTAAATCTAGCCCAGATTACCAGCAGACCGTACAAGCAGAACCCCAGCAGGTGATTTAACAGGTATGTGGCTCTATATATAAACACAGCAGCTCTGCACTGAGCCATCTCTCCTCTCCAAGCAGCTCTAGTTTATTAAACCCACAAGCCATTCAACAGTCCCAGAAAACTTTGGATGCCTCACAGCTCCTCTTCCACCAGCTCCAGGTTACTGCTAAGTGGGCAGAACAGCAGCAGGAGGGGAGAAAGAGAAACTTGTATGGATGAATACTGCAGTTCGGGTAACAAGCTGCTGGAAATTTGAGTTTAGCTTAAATTTTGCATGAAAAGTAATTATATGAACTTCTGAAATGTACGTACAAAAAAAATACAAATGTATTTCCAGCTAAACAGGCACCAAACAAAATGCCCATTAGCTCAGCCAACAATAATGAACAAATTCATTACAAGAAGAAGAGTTGGCTCTCCTTGCAGTCCACTGTGTACCTGTCCCAAGTGCAGAGAGTGTAAGGTTTGCAGGAGTCTATCCCTTGGTAGGTAAAGGTCTGCTCTGACCTAGACCTAACATCTGTCAGTCTCTGTTTTGTCATTAAAAGATCTAAGAAAATTCATCCTTAACATTTAATTACAAGCCACCATCACTATTAACTGTTCTTCCCTAAAGCAAACAAACCCCAAGAACACCTAGACTATTATGTTATTATTTTTTTTCCACCTATTGCATCCAGCATTGGACATTAAAAAAAAACAAAAAAACCAAGCCTCACATTGCCAAGTTATCTCCAGTTCCATACCAGTCACAATGTTCCTCAATAACAGCTAGCATTTTTACTGAAAAATTCTGTTCTTAACAACACATTCTGTGTTCAGAGTCAACATGTCCAGGTTATTAGGCAAAACAAGATTTACCTCAAAACAAGATTTACCTCAACAGATGTAAAAATTTTTCTCATATTATGTGACTTATCACGCCACTTAAGATTAGACTAGGTGAAATAATTTACACTGCTTCAGGAACAGCTACATAATCCATATAGACAAACACATAACCACATTTTCACTGTCAGACACACCATGCCAGAACCTCCACTGACTTCACCATGAAAAATGTGTTTCTACACATTAGCCTTTCAAACTTCAGAACATAAACACCAGCCATATTTGAAACATCTAAATGTATTCTTCACACATCTATAATGTGCTTGCTGATGGTGCCTATTTATTTTTTGTTTCGATGGCAGATGATAAAATTTAATTGCTACTAGTTTAAGTAATCTAAAGTTGCAAACAAGTATCATTACTACTTCTAAACCATTGATAAGAAGCTAGAATTCCTAAAAACAGATCACACTTCACACTCCTGCACGTAACACTTCTTAGTCAGAACTGCCAAAATTACTGGCATGCTATTACCAAACATAAAATCATACTTACATTTCGATTAAATTTTGTGAAGGAATGATGCATATAAAATCTGTGCATGTAAACAATTGCAGTATTTATGGTAAGCTGAGATCTGGAAGATTAAATGAAGGAAACAGTACATATGAAGAAAATAGTCTACAAGAACTGTAAACGATGGGCTTTCTATATCAATCACTGCTCTCAACATATTGTCTTCAGCTGAAAATGGATTAGGGACGTGACACTTCAGAATTTAACTGATATTAGCACATCTTTAACTGATATTAGCACGTATCGCTCCCATCTGTTTCACAGATCATGTGGAGATTCCTACGCCAGGCTCCCCACGGTCACCCACGGAATGAAATCTCCTCAATGGGCGACGTTCACTGAAACACTCTCTCAAGTGCTTTTGTTTTGTTCCAGTTCAACTATTTCAGCAAGGGATTTGAGGGTTTGGCCATGCTCTGATCGGTTTTTTTTTTTTTTTTCCTTTGAAAAATCACATTAAAGAACGGCTTAGGAGGAGGTGCCCGTTTCGGGGCACGCGGCGACTGGGATTTCCTTCGGAGCAGCCGCAGCCGCGGGCAGGTGGGAGCCGAGTCCCTCAGCGCCGACAAAGAGCGCGGCGCGGTCCGCCAGGCTCCTCCTCCCATTCTGTGCCTCCGGGCCACGGCTCCAGCCCGGGGAGCGCTCCCGGGACGGCTCCCGCACCGGCGCGGAGCTCCCCCGCCGCCCCTCCACGCGCGGCCCCCGCCGCCCTCACGCCCGTCCCGCCCGGCCTCGCTCGGATACACGTTGAGGCGCTGGCCCATGTCTTGGATGAGGTTGGCCGCCTGCTGCCGGTACGAGAGCTCCTTGTCGGCCTCCACGCCGCAGCGCCGCGAGGGCGTGTTCTCCAGCTGCTCGCGGCTGAAGAACCAGCGCGACGCGGCCGAGGAGCCGCCGCCGCCCCGCGCTGCGGACCCCGCGGAGCCCGCGCCCGCCGCCGCCATGACACCTCCTCCTCCTCCCGCTCCTGCGGCGCCTCCTCCCGCCGCCTCCATCGCGCCTCTCGCGAGAGCTCCCGCGCCCGCGCGCGCCCTCCGCCATGGAGTCTCGCGGCGGGGCGGCCGCGCGCCGGGCGGGGTCACGTGGGCTGAGGGCGCGGCCGTGGCGGGGCCATGGCGGCCCGGGCGGAGGGCCGGGAGGGCGCGGAGCTGCGGGGCCAGGGGGCTGCGGGGCCAGGGGGCTGCGGGGCCAGGGGGCTGTGGAGCCAGGGGGCTGTGGAGCCATGGGGCTGTGGAGCCATGGGGCTGCGGGGTCTGGAAGGGACCTCTGCGGCGCCCCGCCCGCCCAGCACCGCCACTGTAACCCCATCGCCCGCTGCCCGCGTGGGACGCCTTGAGCACAGGCAGCGCTGCTGGCTCCACCCCTGCCCTGTAATAGCTACCCCAGTGCCTGACCACCCTTGAACTGCGTGTCTATTTCATACCATAGCTCAAATATTTAGTCTCGGTCTGGCTGCCTTTTTTATGCGTAATAAAGTGAAAAAAAAAAGATAAAAATATTCCTTTTTTTAAAGCAAGCAAATCACAGAACAGCCTACTTGGAGGACGTAGAAAGGGAGGAAAGAAGGAAAGATTTTGAATGCACAACTAGTTCCCAGAAAATTCCTGTCTGCTGGCAATATCAGCTTGTGGACACTTGGGAAATGCACAAGAAAATGATGAATTGTTATTATTATGAATTGTGTCATTGCAGATGAACAGGTCCAGCGTGCCAGTGATGGAATTCCAGCCATGGTTTGAGTTTATGGATTCAGGGTTCAGAGTGTGAGAAAAGGTATTTAAAGTTCTGATCACCGTGCATGAAGATGAGAGTTCTGCTCGTGTTCAGTACATGCCACTGCCAGCCTGCAGTGGTTTTGTTCACCTGAAGTTACATCACAACGAGTTCTTTTACAACTTCAGTGCCAATTTTATACGAGTAGTTGTAATCTTAGAACTAGACCCTGTGTTGTACTGATGAAATATACAGATGTATAATGCAGCACAGGCGTGAATTACTTGTCTGATCTTCCCAAATGTGTCTCTTCTTTAAGATCCTGCATGTGCAGAGGAAATTTAACCTCAAAGACTTCTCATGTAATTAGCTGATCTTGGACTTCATATTTGTGTGTCTGTAACAATCAAGGTACAATGTTTTACCTCATTGTTTAAATCACTGTGTAAAGCTCATAAAGTTTGGGTATTCAACGTAGATTCTTTATTCCTGCAGTAATTGGTGGAGGATTATTAAAAATGTTCTCATCTGGCTGCAATTAGAATTTTACATTAGCTTCGTTAATGAAATGAAAAGATGGAGGGAAGATTATATATATATATATATATATATATATATCCCTGTCTTAAAAATCTTAACATATCAAGAATACATAGAATATCATTAAATAATGACGGTGCATAATGAATATGATTTATGCAGGGTATGCACATTAATTAACTCCCATGCAGGGTACTGCAATCACCCATTTAGTCACAGGTTAAAGTAATTAAATACTGTTCTTGCTATTGGAGAGGTTCCAGACCTTGGTCTCCAAAGATGTGACATTGCATTTTCATTTACCTAACTGGTTTCATTCATAAAAAATTGAATAATTAATCCAATTAAAAATGTATTGTAGGAATCATAATGTATTTTCCTCTTAAATCCATTTAAACATCTGTGAGAATCACGTATACTGAAGGGAAATATGAGAATGAAATTGCCTTTTGACTTTGAAATTTAATTAAAACAATCTGGTTGAAAAATCATGCATGCTGAAAACTCAATACCTGCATATGAATATTTAAATAAAAAAGGTCAACAGTAGTCTTGTGAACCTGAGGACAAGAAATATTGTTAAAGCTATTTTCTGGCTCTTCTTTTACTCTTACATAAAAAATTGATATTGTAAATCTCTGAGCTGCTGACTAATTCAGCTCCAATTCACAATACTTTTTTTTTTTTTTTGGGTGGGTTGGGCACTGTAAAGAAGGACAGAGTTTTCTTTGTTGTCCAACAGAGGCTGGGATCAGCAGGAACTGCTGATGTTCAGCATCCTTCAGGTTCAGCGTGTGACAGCCATGGCCAGAGGTAAAAACAACTTCTGTCTAATTCTGTTTTGCCTGGAATATTCCAAGACTGAGCAGAGGAATGGTGACACCACACGTAGCCAGACAATGTTCCCCCAAGAACAAAGACTGGATACGCTAATCCGTGTTTTTCTGACTGCTGCACAATTCTCCTGGGAGGAGGATGCCCATGCACTCACTGGATAATAATGAAAACCTGCTTCAATCAATAGTCTATAAAGCAAATCACCTTTCCATTCCTATAGCAGGACTCAAGCTAGGGAGAGCATTAGCACTTCAACATTTAAACTATTCAGCCTTACTTTTAGGAAGCATTTTGTAAGGAATAGAACATTAACCCATGTTGTTGCCAAACACTAGTATTTATTGTGACAGTGACAGTGACACACCGAGTATTACCCACACAAATACCTTACTTCTGCACCTACAACCATATTGTTCAAATTGTTTCTGATGAGTAAGTTCCCAGTGCTGTAGGTGGCAGCTAATATGTAAAGTCCCCACACAGACCTTTTCCATCCTGTCACAACATTGACAAAGCACGAGTGCACCTGCAGTGCTGAGCTGAGTGTGGTGGGCTGCATTTTCCACCAGTGGATAAAAGCAAATGTTGCCTTTTATTGGGCATCAACATTGTTTAAATTCTCTTTTAATATTCTTTCAAATTCTGTCATAACAAAGAAGTGTAGTCAGTACATCATTTTCTCAGCTCTTTCCTTCTTGGGAATCAAATCCTAATAACTTGGCATTGATTATAATTCAGAGATTCTTATAACTGCAAAAGATGAAATCTCTCCTTTATTATGAAAGCAGGGATTTCAGAATTGTTTAAAAACAGCTTAAATCCTCAGGCAATACCTGTGCATACTCATTTCCAGTACCCTTGCTTTTGCTTTGGACATAACAGGAAACTGTCAGATAATTGTCAATTTTATTTTTCATGAGCACAATTGCATGTACCAATAGAAATGCAAGGCTATTATTTCCAAGGTTTAGCCACCTTAGTACTTCATCATTATTCAAATTGTTTTCTGCTAAGACCCAAAAATTCCAGAGCATTTCCAGCCTTGAGTTTATCCTGTAAAAGCAAAACACATAGATATATTTGTGCTTAGCTCATATTTAACTCAAATGCTTTTACTTGTGCTTTAAAAGGAGCTGCTGCAAAGAGACTGAAGGGTCTCTTCCACTCATTGAAGAAATCAGTGTACTATACTGATTTTTCAGTGGTTTATCTCATGTCTTGAACAGAGACTTATAAAGGAGGGAAAATTCAAATGTAAAAATCATACCTTCAGTTTATAATCAAAATCATCCATTGAATCAATCAGTTTTCCAGGTTCCAATTCCCCAAGTGGAAAAGGGTAATCTGTTCCCAAAATAACTTTGTCCTGGTAATAAAAAAGAAGTGTACATTTTGTAGTAACATTAAACAATAGAGTTTAAATAATATGGATATTAATATGTACAATATTATAGTAACATTAATATTATATTTTAAACTAATATTTTTTTCAGATTTTTAATTTCTTTTTAATTAACATTAAACAATAGAGCACATGCTTTCTGGAATGTATAATGAAATACAAGAAATTAGATGTATATATTGGACTGATTAATTATGAAAGTGAATATGAAGATCATAACTTCCACTAGGAAAAGAACAAAGCTTAAAAACAATTACTCAAGAGGTTTTTTGATGAATTTTATTTGGAAAAAAATGCAGGTCATTTGTTAATAATTTTTGTGGTATCTAACTGAAGTTATGCTATCTAAATTCTCATAAGGAGAAAGTTGAAAATGCAAATCCAAGGCTTCAGGCGTGTCTATTGCTTGGGTGAATAAAACTCAGTCAGAACTCGTTATAATGTTTGTTACCAGAGTTCAATTCTGAAATAGAGTGGAGGAAACATAATTCAGTTATTTTCTGAAATGGTTTGCTTTTCTTACTTGTCAAAGGCTTTTTAAAAAAAATAATTTTTAAAACACATTTCATACTTAGACTGATTTTCTGTACTGTTGTGCTGGTTAGAAAGGTAACAGCCCCTGCAAGTGGTCTGCCTAAACTCAAGAATTAATCTTGGTTAAGTTGCCATAATTAAATGGCCAATAAAGGATACACAATTCTTCCTTCTGAGTTCTGCCTTACTCATTTCATGCTCTGCACTGGTGTGGGAATACAAAATATATTTGAGACTTTTGGTTACATTTCTTTAAGAATCTCAGGAAGTTCTCCACCAAATTCAGGGAAGATGGTTGGATTAGCAGTCCTGAATTTGAAATTTTTGGCTAAATACATCCACATAAATTTAAAATTATCAATGGATGAGAAGAATGTGCAATAAGAAATACAAAACAATAAAAACTATCTTCTCTGTGCTACTTTAAAAGATGTAATATTGGCAATGGGGTACTACTGAAAACATGATACAATGTAAAATTACTACAAATACATAAATTTGAAAAAAGTATTAAATTTAATTGGTATTCAACTTGAGATAACAAAACCTAAATCTCATTTACAAAATTTCATATATTTCTGGAAGTCTGCAGCTTTTTTAAAATGTCACTGTCTTTGGCTGGGACTGGATATTAACTGTGGGTTTGAAACATGTACCTGAAAATATGGGTGACATAACATGATTTGTTTCTGAAAGAAAGTCAGTGAGAAGAAAATTCAATAAAAATCTGTGTGCAACATCCCTTGTTATCAGAGATGAAAAGAAACTAGCAGATCCTGAATAGGACCATATTGTTACAGGCTCATTTTCTCTCTGGAATGATATTTCCCCATTTTATCAGCCTTGGAGAGGGCATACTGCCAACTCTCTTGATTTTATCAAAAGTCTGTTTTCCTTTACACTTCATCTCCTACAGACAGGAGTATATGAAAAAAACATAGTTTTTATTTAAAATGTATGTTTTGAAAT